GTCTAACATGACCCCCTTTTTTGGTTCTAACTTGTTTTCCCACGTCCCAGTTTTCTGTCTTCAGTCGACTTCCTGCCCATCATTGTACCTTTTCTTCAGCGTGTCCTGTATTGGTCATCAGCTCCTCTCTCTTCACCGCTTTGTCCTCCGTTGCTCACCACTGCTCATCCCAGGATCATCGCTCCGCTTTTCATCCGCGTTTGTGTCTTTTTGTTACTCCTTAGTGTCGGGTTTTTCCGATACAGTACAAGTTTTTTTACAGCCTGGCTGTTTCTTTTGTTGACTTAAATTCGTCCTCCACGTCTGCTCCTGGGCGGTTCTATTCGCTTACTCGCTTACGACACCGTGTTGGTCCAAGACGCCTCCAGCAAGTTAACATTCGGGATGTTCAGTAGATTAGAAAGTGTTTGAGGTGACAGCCGGACTGGAGGATTATAGAGAATTTTAGAGATCGTAGGTGTTGTCATCACTTATTCCAGTAAGGTAGCACCAAATCCATTTAGGGCTCAATCCATGCTCTCAGTGAGAGGCTTATTTGTGCTTTCAGGACAGGAAAAAACAAACAGAAATCAACATTCATAGCTGCACATGGCATCTTTTGCTTAGTCCACTGCCTGCTGGGCAGTATTGACCGTAATGTCCAGCTGAAATTCCATTAAGGCCCACAGTAATGATGGTAATTAGTGACCTCCTGTCCTGCTTATAAGGCTGTTGTGTACAGTAGCATCCACTGACAGATTCTCTTATATTCGTTGTGGTGGCATTTAGTAACCTTGCTGCCACTCAAAAATGTGTAGCCACTCGCACACAAAGGCACAACTCTGCCTCCCAAGAGTCAACCTGGGCTTTACCGAATCTATGCGCCGCACATCGATATGATGAGAGCACAGTTTTTCTGAAGTAGGCACCTCAGCCCAAAGTTTTATTCTGCCTACAGCTGCTCCTCTTTTTCCTGACCGCTGACACTCGGACATGAGAAGCTCTCACTTTGGGTGTGATGTCAAATGTCGGGAGGCTGCACCTGGTCTTTCAGATGAAGGCAAAACCAGCACAGGGCTTTGCTCGGAGTGAACACAAATTCACTATCCATCGCCCAGTGTGCTCTGACATTAGAACAGAACTGTGTAATTAGTCTGAAAAATAATGCCTGTCCGAATGAAAATATGCCGACTTGGCAAAAGGAAACAGGTTTTCCAGTCGGATGAAAAAAGAGGAACACTTCAGCAGGTAAGTCTGTGCAGAATTATGGAAATATTTCTTTGGAAATATGAACAGAGCAAGAAAACTGTTCTGGTGTCATTTGAGGGGAATAAAAGTGAACATTAATGTCTTCCTGTTTCATAATCCCACTAAGAAAGTTTGCAAACCCTCCAGTATAAGACATAAAAAGACAAACCAATAAAACAAATGTAGAAAAAAGTATTATAATAATTCTCTGATTCTATTCAAATTCATTCTAATTTTAATTCTATGATGGATATTCGTTCATTTCTCTGCTTTTGGCCCCCCCACAGAAACCTTGCTTTAGGTTGTTTGTCAACGACCAAACCAAAAGAAAGTATTTATCCATGTCTCTGTTTATCTAAAACCTGAACTGCGTCGATCTTTTTGCGGCTCCTTTGGGTAGTCTACCCGTCCGGCCCCCTTTTTCTGTTGTGATTCAGCTCACGACCAGACCAGGCTGGTGACGTATTCGGGATTCAGAATTCATCCGTGTGGCAACGGCTTCTCTTCTCGTGAGAAGCGGGTGCTTTTTGAGTGGCTGTCTGTTAGAGGAAGAGCTGTTTTTGGGACACAGTACGGCTTCACTTTTTAACAGCAAGTAGCTGCACGCATCTTTGACACGAACGAATGCCTTCCTTCTCTGTTTGGACGAGCATGTGCGTGCCGTCTGTGTCACTGACATGGAAAGGAAAAGCCTTTGTGGCCGGAGGTTTCAGGGTCATGCGTTGTGGTTATGTTATGGATTTTTTGGTTTGTGCTCTGATATCCTTCTGTTTTGATTTGAGTTATTAATATATTTCTGGGTTGTTTCTCTTTTTTTCCACGTAAGTGCTTTACCTGTTTGTGGTTTCTGTTCTCTCATAGTCTCCTCTGTACTTTGAATTCCAGGCCACTCACTCCACTCTTTCACATGTGGCCTTTCGGTTCCTCTCTCCTCAGTCTTTTGTTTCTCTTTCTGGCCTTTTTTTTGTCATTCTTGGGATTGAGATTTTTCTCAAGTTTAGTTTTTCTTTTAGGTAATCCGGCAATGCAGTTTTTTCTGTTACGCTAATACCATAAATCTCAGTAATCACCATTTCTGACACTTGGTGCCTCTGTTTAAAGCTTTTAAAGCCTCCCAAGGGCGTGTGGAGCTTTTGCCTTAATAGTTCATACAGGTGGTTTTGATATTGTTATCCAGTCAAACTCCTAATATCACTCCGTGACCGCATAACTGCCTCTCAGACATGAGGAAAAAATGGAAAAAGACCTCAGATGTCATCAATCGGGAAGACTTTCCGCCAGGATCTCAGCTCAACTATCTCTCCATTCGTCTCTGCCCTTTTTTTCACCTTGTCTCTCTGTCTGGCACTTGTTTTCCACCTTATTCTCTTCTACACTCCATCAGTGTGCGCTCCCCCTCACCACTTTTACTCTGATCTCTGGGCTCCGTTCCAAGACTCCCAATCATATGCCCAAGGTTTAAGTTGAATTTCTGCATGAAAACATTTAATTATCTGTTAGCACAGCCTTTAAGTACGGTAAACAAACAAGTCATAACGTAGCCAGCTTTTTGATTTATATACACATGATCCACTATCCTGCCATCCCCTAATGCGCTGCTATAATGTGTTATAGATCTCTATGAAATTGTTGTCAGATAATGACCTTCTCCATTGATGGACACAGCTAAAACTTGCAGAGCCAAAGCAAATTATGCGGCTGAGTGAACAGTAATGTTCTCTCAAAAGATATTGACGATACAATAAAAGTAAGAATTTGTTTTAAGGGCTAGGGCTCTCTTTGTCATAAGAGGGGCTCCGCGCTTGTAGTTAATCTCTGGTTAATTTATATCACCCGCCGAGATGAATCTTCCCCGATTGTCGGGGTGTGAGGAGCCTTTTAAAGACGCATTTGCTAAATCACCGCAATGAAGTGGGAGGTGTCCTTTTTTTGTATTTGTTGCATTGTGGCCATTTATTCTCCCATTCTCTCTGCTCTCACTTTTCTAGAGAAGAAAGAGGTGACCCAGAGTCTGGAGAATTACACCTCCAAGTGCCCGGGTGGGATGGAAGTCATTACACTTCCTGATGGGCTGAAGTTACCCCCAGTGGCCTTTACAAAGCTCCCCATTGTTCGGTAAGACAGCAGATGGAGGCATTGTTTCTTTCCAGTGTGATGGCTTCATTTTTTTTACTTTTAGAAAAAAGCCTTCAACTATCCATTGTGTTTTGTGTTAAACTGTGTTTTTTCCAGGCTCTCTGAAGTATTTTGTAGGACATTGGTTACTTTTTCACTCCTTTTCCCTTTTCAGAGTAATGTTTTAGTTTCTTTGATAAGCAGCTTAATGTTAAACTGTACAGCATTGAATTAATAATGTCATCTAACTCAACCCCCTTTGTGTCTGCATGTGATTGGAACTTACCAAAGAACCCAAATTTGAATATTAACGTCATACAATTTGTTACAAGAAGCCCGTACTGCCCTGTATAAAAGAAAACACAGAAAGTAACACAATTTTAATAGATATTAGATGTTTTTTTTACCATTTGATTCAGAAAGAGGGGTGAGAAAGCTTGGCACTTCCCTGTATTGACAGCTGTTGAGCAGGATTGGGAAAGTTCAGTTCTTCAGAAATGGAAATGAAAAAAATAAAATTCACTCTGTCACAGAACCCAAGAGAAGCGTCTGTCAAGAGAGGGAAGGTAAAGAAGGGGAAATGGGTAGAGAGAAGGCTGAGCTAAGCCAAATGGCACTGGAAGGGGACTGAAAATGATCAACAACACACAGGTCTGATCGAGGAATGAATCCTCCCTAGACCTCAACATCACACAACAAAAAAGAAGCCATTGTCCAAAGAAGAGTTTTAGGCTGCTTAGAACAATTTCTACCCTCAAACTTTGCTTTGACCTCATAGAATGTATTTCCATTGATTATAGGCACATTATAGGGCAGGCTGTGGGGAAATGGGAGGTGGGAACAGACTTCTGCATGAAGCTTCCGAGCACAGAGTTCCACAGATGTTTTGGTGGTGATACACCACACAGGTTTTAACTGTCACTCTGACTTGTTGTTGCTTCCAGACAATTCTGCAAAATTCACACGTGTTCTATTTTTAAGAGAAGCTCACTCTGGATGCAGCGGAATAATTCGACCGGAGGCTGTCAGGCAGAGAAGCCATGCTGCAATATTTACAGCAAACTGCAGTCAAAGGGAGAGAAAGCTCTAATTTCATGGCTTTTTTTTTTCCACGGCTTGATCCTTTTTTATCACAAAGAAGAAATTCCTACACCTTGAATGGGCTGCTTGATAATAGCAGGACGCAACTTTTGATGAGCACTGGGCTTTAATTGGACGGAAGACTTTCGAACAAATGATGCAACGACAGCTCAAAATGCGGGGAAAGATGGTGCCGTTTCTCGCCGTACAAACACTTAAAAAAGGTCACATCTCTTTCATGTTTTCCTCGTGCTTGAACAACCCAACTCACACAACAGATCGGGCTCAAGGCAACACAAATAAGCATTTCTGTTTTTTAATGATGTTTTTTCCAATTCTACTCTATTCAACTGTTTGGTCAGGAAGCAATTTATCTGTAGAGGTTTGAATAGATTATGAGCACGACAACAATAAAGGGAGTATGAATTTTTAATGCTCCACTGAGTTACTCTTGGAATAAAGGGCACGTCAGCTCTGGAAACAAAGCAGCACAAACCAAATGTTGCCGGTAAAGCAGTGAAAAGAAAATCTCGGATTCTTTGATAGTTGAAACATCGGCGCAAAACCATCCAGGCTTTTATTGTTTGGTGGCGTGTTAGACAAACAAGGCAACAGTGAAGATACAGCACAAATCACCCACAAGATTATACCGACTTTGGGTCTTTATTAATTGGCCCATCCTTATAGAAAGTTTGGAGTAAACACTTTTTTAAAGGGCTTGTGCTTGTGCATTTTATTGTTTGCTGAGTTGAACATTGAACAAAAAGTAGTGCTATTAATCTCTGGCCATGCACTGGAAGAATAAAGAGAATGAATCCCAAAACAAACTATGATTTTACGCGGCGTGAGAAAAGGGCCCAGAGGTCAGGAGAGTTTGCCAGATCAGAATTTCTGACCTCAGATTAAATCGCTGTTGCTTGTGAAATGTGTTTCCAGATCGGTGAAGCTGCTCAATCTGCCCGTGAGTCTGCGTCCTCACAAAGTGAAAGGCCTGCTGGGTCAGAACATGTCCACTGCCAGCCCCTTCATCTACTCGCCAATAATCATGCACAACAGAGGAGACGAGCGCTGTAAGAAGATCGGTAAGTCCCGTTCACCGCCTCCTGTAGGAAAACTGGCACTGGCACATTTTAGGCCTAGACCAGTACTTATATGCAGGAGAATCATTCATAAGATTTTTTTTTGTTTATTTACCCCTGTGATGCCCACCAATCTAGGATGAATAGTGAAGATTAACTCACAGTTTTGTGGTGTTTTGTGATCACAACTGAATCCAAATTCTTTGAATTAGAAATAACCTTTCTAGTTTTTTAGTGTTGCTAAATCTGTGAGTTTTCAGTTTTTTTTTCTTCTATTCAATTTGGTTTTTATGGCTCAACAAAGGTTTTTCCTGCCTAAGATGAGTTAAATAGCCCTTTCAGAGCAGAGATCCGCCTCAAATCTCAGAGGTCGCAATGAGAAGTTGCTCAGTTTGTGATGGTTTGCTAATGTTAGTCAGGAAACAGTGGAAGAAAAGCCCCCTTTCATTTCTAAGGTTTTGTGTTTTCAAATGGCCATTTAGTCAGGAAACAGTGGAAGAAAAGCCCCCTATCATTTCTAAGGTTTTGTGTTCTGAAATGGCCATTTACCAAATGAAAAGGATTATTTACATTGGAAAAAATTAAAATCAAATCGGCAGAGGGGGAACAAATATGTCTTGTTTGAAAGGATTGTGGGGGAAGGTCCTATTCTGCTGCTCAGGAGGTAGAGAGGTCATTCTCCACTCAGCTCTGTGGACCACAGAGCTGAAGTATCTTTGGGAAAGATGTGAGCACTCTGTGTGAAGTGCAAAGGTGGAAGGGCCAAAGATTCGGTTTTGTTCAGCAGGCACAGGATGAGGGCGCCTTCTGGCCACTGAGTCCACTTTGAACTCCTCTGTACACCAGAGTGTTCCGGAGTCAGACTTGAGGCCATCTGTCCCACAGCCCAAGGCTGACTGAAGGCAGCTCATAAACAGGAAGGTGATCCAAAAACCCAGCAGCAGATTGAAAACAGAATGTCTGAAAAAGAAAAGAATAGAGGTGTTGGGATGGTCCATTCAATGCCCAGAGCTCAATGACAGAAAAAAGAAAACAACTTTAGAGAGCTGGGTCTAAACAAATGCTGCCTGGTGGACAGAGGAGTGGGCTGAAAGTCCTCCAGAACCATGTGTCAGACTGGGCAACTTCTTGTTTTTGCTGTAAAGGAGGTTCTACAAGCTAGACCGTGTGTCTTCTGATCCTTATTTGTACCCAAAAAATCAAAAATAGAAAATTCGAAGAAAAGTGGGCGCTGCGGAAATCTACTAAATCAATCACACATCCCACTTAAGAATCAATCGGTTTAAACAAGTGCTTCTTCGGAGAAAGTAATCAACCGCAAATGATTTCCAATGTGCAGCCTTTACCAGTCCTGCCTTAACCGTTCCACGTACAGCACCTCCGGCAGCTCATTTATTCGAGCGAAGAAAGTCCGGCATTCCTCTGGTGGATTTCTGAGAAAACAGGGCTCTGGAGAGGAAATCCAGACTCTCTGTTTCCCCTCAGCCTCTCAATCTGCGGTCAGTTAGCTACCAGACTATAAAGTCACGATTCACCCGTCTCGTTGAAAGCACCTCCCAGCACACGGGGGTCTGTAGAGAGGAGATTTGTAAATGATGGGCTAACTCAGAAACAGGGAATAGATATGTTATCTTTGCAGTTTAAAAAGACCCCACATTTTAAAAAGAAACGGTTGGATATTCCTGAGAACGTATCGACACCACGACATTGTTCCACAGCAGCGCACCTTTACGGCTTTCGACTAAGTCATCATTTCCCTCTCATTAATTCCACTGACAGGCAGTCAGAGTGGTGGTAACTGCTTGAGAGGGCCTGGAAATAAAGCGGTGTGGATACAGGGATTATTTGTGTGCGTGTTCCTCATTGTCTTTAAGTCACACGCCGTGAATCAGATTGATGCTAAGCTGTAAAAACAAGGAAGATTATTTTCTCCATAATTGCTCGTAGAGTCAGTTTTAAGAACTGTCTACCTCTATCTTTTCCCACTGATGTGGGCGAGAGGCTATCTATTATAGTGTTAAATGGGCTTACGGGCTGGGGACTTTCACTTCATATGGCTTGGACGTTGACGTATGTTCTATTCTTTTGGCTCTGTACTCCCCTATATTGGATTTGGAGCAAAACAATAACCAAGAGCTCAAAATGCTGACTCAACGGCTTTGTGGCTGCTTAGCACCATCTACATTCAATGTGACTTTACAGTGTCTAAAATATACGTTAAAAACTTGAAGTGCCACTTTAAAAAAATTTTGAGTAAGTTTTGGCTTTAAGAAATAGGTAAGGTAAGCAAACATGCTATAATTGAGCTTTTTTTTAGATACATTAGTGGAATAAATAATAGAAAAAAGATGTTGTAGATATGATAGGATCAAAGTGAGAACAAATACAGAAATAAGCTAAAATGGTGCTTCATCGAATGCTGACAGGTTTGTCTGAACTGATAAAAGTCTAAGTAAAATAAGACTAAACAGGCATAAATCAAAGCTTTTAAAAAAAAAAGTGGAATGCACCAATGTGCTCAGAAAAAAGAAAAGAAAATGTTTCCAATGACTCATCAAAAACAAACGACATTTGACTAAAGAATGAGTTGCATAAAAAATGTTTTTCATTTTCCCTCTTGACCTCTTTTTAAAGGACTTTATTATTTTTTGGGCTCCAATTAAAAGCATCTGCTTATTAAAACAAATGACTTTTTAATATTTAGTGAGATGTCTGAGTTTGTCTGAACCCCAGTTTTTAATAAGATCAAAATCTTTGGTTTTTCTTTTAGTTGGGAAGCTTCTCTATTACACCTGTAGGATTTGACTTCTATTCTCCTAATAGAACGTAAGAATTCTACCTCTTACGTTCTTAGTGTGCATCTTTTATTCATTCAACGGTCTGCTAGTTTTTTTATGGCTTTTTGAGTATGCAGTAATACCGGTAATGGTCTCCAGCCCCTCTCATTTCTCTTATGAATAAAACAGGATTCTAATTCCTGTTTTAGGGGGGAAATACAAACCCATGGCTGTGTTGAGCTAACCAGGAACCTAGATAATGACTTCAGAGCATTCGTCATTACTCTGAACAACAAAAAGCTGAATATTTTCCTTTGCCACTTGAGGAATTAAAGATACATATAAGACAGAAAGAATACACTTTGCTTTTCTATATTTGAAGGTATATTTCACACCTAATTGGCCGGCTGTTAGAGCATGCCTTTGAGCCAGACCGGAGGTAGTACCAGGCTTTCCAGACAGTTATATTACAGATATCCTTCTTTTGACTTGCTTAATTTCCCAAGGTGCATTGCTTCACTTTCCCATCCATAAATCTTTTTTTTCCTGCAATAGCCTGAGGTGGGATTTTTCAGGCCTTCTTTTATTTTTTTCCCAGGCCCAGCAACGGACTCTCTCACAGCTAGTGGAAAGGGGAGCATTACAAAACGGTGATAGCCCCAAAGTGGGGCTTTAATATCCCAATAAAACAAAACTTTCAGGGGTAGTCGAGCACCACTGGTTTTCCTCTTCCACTCCTCGGCTTTTTATTCTCTCTCGATTAACACTGCTGTCCTCTGAGCAGTTCATTTTCAGTAGACAATCCATAACGGAGCGGTTTTTGATCAACACAAAGTAAAAGGAAGCATTTTTTCCATCTGAAGTCCCTTGGTTTCATCATCCATGCCGGTAGTTCGCTATTAAGCTGTTATGGTGTTACTTCTATCTCATTTTAATGTACCAATCTTTTCTTAGACTTCCAGTGGGTTCAAGGAGATGTTTGTGAAGTGCAGCTGATGGTGTACAACCCCATGCCTTTTGAACTTCGTGTGGAGAACATGGTGGGTGAGATTTCTGACGTCAACATTTAAAGGCTCTATAATCCTGTGTTTATAATATGTCTTGTCTTACTGTCCTATAATGATGCATTGCAAAGGTTTGGACAAATTTCTACCATGATGATTGTGTAAGGTAGTGGGAAACATCTTTAGAAACACCTTTTTTTATTTTGTTTTCGCAAACTAAGGGTTTTAAAGAGCATTCAGGCACCAAAAGGTGCGGTTTAACCCGGTCATGTCATAGCTGACTGGAAACATCTGTTTTAATTCAGAGTATTTCCTCCTGGAGAACATCCACCTGAAGCAGAGCCACACCTCTATTCCATTCATAGCGAAGTCCAGTTCATTGTTAGAGCCTCACTGCTCATTTTTTAAGCACACACCGGCAGACCAAAGCTGCCACGTGGGACAGCTTTGAAATGCAAAGTCGACGCGGGTTCCCGATAAAAGGCCGGCCGAGACGGGCCCGTTTCCAGCTGTTTGGTGGCGGAAGCACACACAATACGCTACGTGTCGAAAGTAATATTGCTTTGATTACTTGGACAGTGGAGAATAAATTACCGGGAAAGTTTGGTGAGCAGAGGCACTGGCCGTCTTAATTGTAGCAGCTGTCTCTTAGCCCGTGCCAAATGAAGCTGGGTGGTTCTTGCTGCTCGTCTCCGGAAAGTGCGGATCGGTCACAGAGGCAGAAAAGTGCTCACAGGGAGCCAACCCAGAAGGCTTTAAACTCATGTTTGTTTGCCTTAAAGCCAGAGTGAACCTTCGCATCGTCCAGGACCAATGCATGTAGTCTTTGCAAAATCTTAAAGGAAGAGGGGGTCAGATGATTACCTCTTTGTCACTGACTTATCCCAGAGCTGTGAAATAGATCCGAGAGAACAGTAGTGCCAGGGCTATCATCTTTGAGGATATTGTTACACGCTCAAATGGAAGGAAATCTTTCTTTTTTTCGTCATTTGCACACTGAAAGTGCGAATAGCACAAATGTAAATTGTGCTGTCCTCATGGCCAATCATTCGGAACTATAATTTCAACCCGGTGAAGAAACTCAGACCTCAGACCCAAAACTTCAGCACGATGCCCTTTCATGGCCAATAAAATATTAGCCACATTCTGCCAAACAAGCTAAAGGTAATAAGATTATCAGTGTTTTTAAATGACTCAAAGTCTCAATACGAAAATACTAAATACTAAAATTCTCTGGAAGAGCCTGAAGGGCTGGGGTGTTTTTCTGTGTATGTCCAGGAATTGATTGGAATCCTTTTATGCTGTTGTACAAAAAAACTAGCTACTGATTTTCGTAGTCCTACTTAGAGCTGAACAGTACAAAGAGTATAGGGTCACACGCCTTGCTTCTCAGAGAGTGACGGAAATCATCGTTAAAAAACAAAACAAAACTGAGTAGTATCCAAGCAAATAAAACAACTATTCTGGTATTATCTTTATGTATTGACTCAGAATGTAACCTCAAAGCCAGACTTAGATGAACAAGGTGAAGCGAGGCCTTAAATGACCTTTTTGGTGCCAGGACTGACAAGAACTAAGATTTCAGCAGTATACGAATAAGGTATACTCTGGGTACCTCCTTGGAAAGATGCCGGACTTAAATGGTTGTTGTTAACTCATTGACTGCCAGCCATTTTCAGAACAGAGAGTCGCTCACTGCCAGAGTTTTTTGAGAATTTTGACTGATTTTTCTAGAGCCACAGAATAGTTTGTGCTATGACTATGTAAACACCGAACACACCAAAAGAAAGAGTAGACTCTCTTCTTTCATCAGGAAAAAAGATTTTGTTTCTACCTTATTCCGTTCTTCTTCGACGTGCGTCTCACCGGCGCCATTTCTCTCATAGCGAACCATTGCGTTTGTTTTTATTTGCTTACAATCTATGCTAATCTCCCATCAAAAGTGGCACAGCTACCTAGAGGGTAAATTTGTTAGTCCATACTCTGTCTAGAAGCCGATATTTACGGGAAAACTTTCGCCGATCGTCCCCCAAGCCACTCGCATTGAAAAACATAAAAGACGTCTATAGACGTCTTTGGCAGTCAGCGGTTGGATTTGAAAAGACGTCTATAGACGTCTTTGGCAGCGAATGAGTTAAAAGGTTTTTGTACCTCCCAGCCACAGTGAGCTCTTCCAAAGGGAACTTAGTTGTCTTCGGGACACGCACTTTGCTTCCATCGGTACTGCACCTTTAAGAAATCCCGAAGTTCTGCTCTAAGCTGCAACAATTGAGAGGACAAGGTGAAACCCCGGTGAGGCTGGCATCAGTTTCTCCCACCTAAGGGTGAATTGATCAGGCCGCAGATGGAGTTTGAGGCCCATTACAAATCCGCGGCAGCTGGGAACCTCACATGGTGTCGTCTAAACACGCAGGTGGAGACAGACAGGCCGCCAGGAGCTTATCCGTACCCCAGACAAAATGACTGAAAGTACCCATCTATCAAAAGTGTGCACAAAGCAACTCCGTGAGCCACACAAGGACGCAAACACACGCACATACAGATGGTGACTTTTCCCTTTTTTTTCCCCCCATCAAGGTGACCGTGTCGTTTGGCACGACGGACCTTTCTCAGTCACCACACGACTCCAAGGCTAATACCCGCCTCTGCTTTGTGCTTTATAGATTTTCTGTTTAAGTGTTTTTCTCTTCTTTTCTTCTTTTTCTCCTTTACAGCCTGAACTCTCACTCTTTCAATTTTGGGTCACCCTAAGAGGCTTTTATCCTCCTATTCACAAACACTCCCGCGGTCTCGATATTTACGTGCTCGTTCTCGCAATGGCAAATGATTGGTGCCGTTTCATTTGCGGCCGTCCACGCGCAGGTCAGCAAAGAGGACAAAGATGTCAGTTTTTTTGCTTCCAACGTGCCTGAAGACAGCGACGTCTCCTAGACATGGAGGATGTCTGGGCTGCTGTAACGTGCTGATATCTCGAAAGCCGCCCGCGTCTTCGGTGCTCTCAGATGGGACAAAAACATCCTAATGTTAAAGAAAACTCACACCATTGCTGGAGCACCAGTCGGAGCAAAATCAAAGGTTAACGGCGAACTGTTGGCGGAAAGAAGTCCGTGCTGGCCAGCTCGAAACGTGCTTTAGTCGTTAATGTTGGTTAAAACAAGCTAATTAACCTTTTCCAGGCAGAATGCAAATGAACTGTTTCCAATAGGTTAAAGCTGAGTGCTGTGCTATTCAATAAAGGCATTTAATGTCCCGATGTGAAAGCGAAGGGCCACTTAAATCACAACCACGGCACCTCCGAGGCTCAGCTCCTTGGTAGCTTTCTTTCTAGTGAGGTAGCGTCTGCTGGTAGGGACTGATGCAATCATTACGTCACCTCAGTCTGCCCTGTTACGCTCGCTGGATCACATCAGGATGGAAGCACTGTTACTCCGAGGGGTCTACGATAGCAGGGATGCATGTCTGGAATTTAACTAGCGGTGCATCCAAAAATAAAAAAAATGTGTTGAAATTTTAGTCTTGAGATGAGGGATTCAGATTATTCTGTCGCCACAAGCAGAATATCATTTAAACCATTTCAGGAATCTGGAATCTGATCGTTCAGCCCTCACTACAACCGTCCCTCTCTGTGTAATTCCATACTTTTTGCAGTTTGCACAATCCGATTTTCCATGTTCTCAGCGGATAATTGTCTCCATGATTGTTTTCGTATTGGAATGAGATTATTCACACAAATAAAGATGGTGCTCATCACAGTTTACATAGACTGTTTACGGCTCATAATCGCCCACCCTGGGTAGACCGTGACAGTCCATTGTTAATTGTGTCCTGTATTGTGAGCCAGCCTGCAGCTTAGTGTCAGTTATGAGCTATACTCCTATGATAGGTCTAAACTAACACTCCTGATGCAATGATTATGTGGCTGGTCTGTTAGCCTCTGGCCTTGGGGCTCACTTGGATGGACCACACAGAGGGAACGTGTCTTTTGCCCATACCAATCCAGACACTTGATAGAAGAAATGGACGGCCCATGCTTAGAATTGAAGATTAAAGCAGCATCCAAACTGCCGTAAGCCACTCTCTGTGATGGCGTTTGAAACGGTGTCTTTGATGGTGGCTTTAAAATGGGCAAGCAGATTGAAATTCTGCAAGGAATCTCCTCTCAAGACGGGTTTGTGGGAAGAAATGGATGGAATGTGGCTTAAAATGCCTTTTTGTTTGGTGTGCTGAATTCCAGAATACGTGAAACTGTCGCCAATTAAATGAAGTAGAGCAGTTTCCAAGAGTATAACGTTAGATTTGAATTTTTTGGTCCAAAATGAGCTTTAAGAAGGCCAGACCAAGCCTTATAATGCAGAATAAAGCTGAATTTATAACCACTCTCTTTTTTAAATAACTTTTTTAGTAGTGATTTACTGATGTTAAGAATTGGCTATGAGCATGCTTACAAAGATTTGTAACGACTGTGCTCCAGTCATCTGAGAAAAACCGTGTTAAAAAGTAGAAGAGCTCAAAGTCGCCAGGCATGGTTACTATTGCTGAAGTTATGCTCGGTGATGATTGCTTTCTTCGGTTGGGTTTCGCACATTTACAGTGTACACTGATTCTAATCCCCGCTGTGTTGCATTCAGGGTCTGCTGACATCTGGAGTGGAGTTTGAGTCCCTGCCTGCTGCGCTGTCCCTCCCCGCTGAGTCCGGCCTGTACCCGGTCACTCTGGTCGGAGTGCCCCGCACGGCCGGCAACATCACAGTCAACGGTAGGTCCCGCTTCTCCAACGACCACGCAGCGTTTAGTCACATCTGCGTTTCAAACGTGACTCTTCTTTCCCTTTCGTTCACCTGATCGTTGTCCATTTGGTTGCAGGCTACCACACCTCGGTGTTCGGCGTGACGAGCGACTGCCTGCTGGAAGATCTGCCTGCTGTGAAGACCAGCGGCTGTTTAGTCGAAGTCATTCCGTCCCTTCCTCGTCTCCAGCTGAGCACATCGTTACCACGGTGAGAGACCTTTGGCGCAGTCGTGCTGTTTGTTGTGGCTGTGGTTGCCAAAGCAGTCGGGAGATATCCCCCCCCCCCCCACTTGGAGCTGGTTAGAGCCAAACCGTTTGATGGAGCCATGAAAGCTGCCGGTGCTGCGAGCAGCCTCTGGCTGCAGCCTGTTGGAGCCTCGGTTGGATATCCAACTCCTCCCACATCCAAGTCGGCCATTTTGATTTGGTCATGTGACTAGCAGCTTTCTCAGGTGGAAACGAAACTATACGAAATCGATGAAATCGAGGAAAACAATGTCCTAACCCTTACCCTTACCCTGACCCTGACCCTAACACTAACCCTAATCCTTAGCATAACCCTGACCCTAACCCTAACCCTGATCCTAACCCTGACCCTAACCCTGACCATAACCCTGACCATAACCCTGACCCTAACCCTAACCCTGACCCTAACCCTAACCCTGACCATAACGCTGACCCTAACCCTGACCCTAACCATAACCCTGACCCTAACCCTAAATCTAACCCTGACCCTAACCCTAACCCTAACCCTGACCCTAGCCCTTCATAATTGTGAGGAAAAACTATTATTTGGTTAAACTAGGTTGGACTTATTGTAAAAAACCTATTTAACATACACTATTTGTACATAATATTATGTATAGAGTTTAATTCAGTGTTTGCAAGATTAATTAATCTCTTTTTAAATTAATGTCTATATTACCATGAAGCAATTATTATTTCCTTTTCTTTCCTGGGATCTTCCTATTGGTGAAGTAAGCAGCAGCACCAGCCTTTTGCCGTGCTAGAGACGGGTATTGCTCAGGTCAGGGACAAACCAGCCTCCATGTTTAGATGCACTGGCAGTCTAGCATCCAGCCTGCTTCATTCAAGGCACAGCATTGAGAATCGAAACCAATTCTTTTTCTGGCATGATGTTGCCAGTTGCGCTTTTTTTATTTTAAGAAACAGCTTTCAAACCCCATTTTTTAAAAACTCACCATCTAGTGTTTATAGAGGCTGCTCCAGTGGGTTTAAATTTGGTTTTCTGCACCGTTCGTAAATACTCTTTGAAATTAAATGTAGACCTATTTCTTTTAATCAATTCGACTTTATATGGAAATGTTATTACAAGTGTTATAGATTTTAAACGTTATTGGAGATTACTGTTAACCTAACCTAATAATACTGTTCTCTGGCTGTAGACAAACAACCATTCTCTTAATATTCTCACTTTCTAATGTAGAAAAGCCCAGTCTTAACTTGTTGACATCTTTGAAATAAATCTTATGAGGTGATCGTGAAAATAATCTCTAGTGACACAAACAGGTTAGAGTGTAACTGAGCGTGGAAAGTTGAATTCATTCTTAAAACAAGTTTTTCTTTACCCCAGTGCAGCATCCGCTGCATTCGTACGTTCCATCATTCCATCACAATGCAGCACAACATGTCCTCTCAGTAAAAAAAAAAGCCAGTAAACAGCCTTGGATTGACAAGGATACCATCAACTGCCAAAACAGTTTTAGAAAAAAAAGTGAGCCCTTTTATGAATATATGCAGATGTCCAATTATTACACCGAAACACAAAATTCACACACAATATTTCACACATAGAGCTAAGAAATAACAACTGTGTACAGGTTTAGCATATTGCTAAAGCATTTGAGAGGAATAAAAAAATCGATCTTGATTTTTCAGGTAAAATGTTGCATTTGGGCCAGATGCAGTGTGTTTAGTGATTCGGGCTCACAGTGGACAGGCAGCCTCAGCCATCCTACTGCAGAGTCTCCTGTAATGGCACCCTATAATTATGAGTGTCAATTTTGACTGTCGTTGTTTCTGTACTCGCGGTATCACAGCTCAAATAGCCCAGAAATAATCACCGGGTGGGGATTTAACTGACTATACAACCGTGACCAGTGTCGTGAAATGTAAAGCCATCAGCAGAAATCCACCACAACACCCCGCCCGCACGCTGGCTGCATTGGTATGCTGCTTTGGTCGCTCGACCAACGTTCTCCCGGACTGTGCAGACAGACCTTTTAACCTCACTATGGTCCGGAGTCTGTAAAAGTCGAGTTCGGCTGAGTCGAGTCGGGTCAATTGACCGACACCATGGCTGAAAACATCCCGCTGTTTTATCCCTGAGATAGAAAAGCAGGAAAAACAACATATCCTCCATGCTGATGTGTGAGCCAAAAAACCCTGAAAATCCATCCCCATTAACCATGTTTGCGTTTGCCTGATAGGTAACAAGACGTTAACTGATGAGCAACAACTGGCTGCTTTGATACATCAGCATCTAAACTGTTTTCTGTAGGGCATGCCAATATGAATAGAACAAAAAATCAAGGCTGCAGTCTGTAAAAGCTTATATGTATTGGAAAAGAGAAAAAAAGGAATGAAAAAGAAGACGTAGCAGAAGGAAATATATTTTCAGACTCTATGTTCAGTCACACCGCCGTGCTGCAGGTGAATTTGTTTCCATGACCGTCCTGTGAGGTGGAATTTGAGCAAACAACATAAGAGACTTAATTTACTACCAGGAAATGGTGAGCAAACCACCCGGCCGGAGTTTTGTAAATCACTCTGACAACAGAGCTGCTGCAGAATCCACTATTTAGGTCATGCCTATGAGTACAGCACTTCAGCAGCGTTTGATGTGGAAAATCTTTTTATTCTCTGGCGCTGGAAGTGCACTGTAGCAGGGAGACAGTGTAAATAGAATACAAACTATTATATTTGCTCTCTGGGGTGTTTTCCTAACGTCCACAGGGAGACTCAGTTTAGACTTCAAAGCATTGACAGGTTTTGCAAGCAGCCTCATTGACTTCTTACATACTTTAGACTTTAAGACCCGAATATATAAATTACAGATTCCAGACAGTCTTCATCTTCTAAAAGACTTTTTATGTTATATTTATTGTGCAAATGCAAAAAGGCATTTATAGCTCATACATACATTGGGCTATGAATGCTTAGAAGTTGGTAGTTTACCTTTACAAACAAACAATACTTTTTTCCCCCCTCGTTTGTTTGTTTGTTGGGTGACGCAGCAGCTGGAGTCACAGCGAGTTCAGTCTCTTCCAGCTTCAGCTGATGGCAGACGATCCAGGCTTGTGCCGTTTTGAAAGCACTGGACTTATTTTTGCCAACCTTGGAGAATAAATCTCGCCTCATTTGGCACATTGTCCAATCTAAAGTTGACCCAAATGCTTGTCTTTGTTAAAAAGGGGGCGCTCTTTGTTTTATTAATGACAATGCGACTGGCTCACCGGCCGCCGCCTTTAACAATGCGAGCATGAAACGTCCGTCAGCAGTAGTTTGGAAAGTCAGATCTGCTGAACACGACACCCCAGTTTCTTGATTCTTCTTGCTGTAAGAGACCGGGATCTGGTCTGGATGTGAATATTGTGGTGTATGGTTGGTTTGGCTAGAAAAACAAGCAGTTCAGTTTTTGAGAGATTCAGTTGGAGGTGATGGACTTTCATCCATTTTGATATGTCAGTGGTATGAGAAACCATGTGATTGAATGATCTTGCCCAGCCTGGTGGTGTATATGGCAAAAAGAAGAGGTCCCACTACCGAACCTTGAGGAACCACCTCGCGGTGGTGCACTGCAGAAGTTGGACCAAGCCAGGATACTTTGAATGATCGACCAGTGAGGTAGGATTCAAATCAGGAATGTGCCCTCCCTGTGATGCCCATACTCGAGAGTATAGACAGAAGGATGTCATGATTGACTGTGTGGAATGCAGCCGATGAGTCAAGCAGGATTATTATTGAGGACTTCCCTGTTGCTCTCGCCTCTTTTAATGCATCTGTCACAGACAACAGAGCTGTTTCAGTGGAGTGGACATTTTTAAACCCAGGTTGGTTTGTATCAAGGAGATTGTTTTAGCAAGAGGTATTCTGTGACCTGCTTAAAAGACTGCCATTTCAATGGTCTTAGATTGGTAGTAGAAAGACCGGCCTATAGTTTTCCACCCGAGTTGGTTGGAGAGAGGGTTTCTTGAGCAGCGATGTAACCAGATGTTGCTTGTATGGGTTAGGAAATGTGCCTGATGTCAGTGAGGCATTGATCACGTCTGGACTTCTGCAGTTACCGTAGGAGCTATGGACTGGAGTAGATTTGTAGGAACAGGGTCCAGCAGGCATGTAGTAATACGGCTACATGTGATGATATATATTCTGCTGGAAAGGGCAAATAACCCTTCCTTTAAGATCATATTGCACCAGTTTACGGCCAGTACACTACTTTGAAAAAGTGAATGAGGTGTAAATGGGGTTGTGAGTGCATTGGGACAAGAAGCTCCAGACAATGTCCAGGTCGAGACGTGTTTATGGAGGGATGCTGTGCTGTACAGTGTTACCCTCACAGGTCTTTTGAAAAATCTCGACTTCTCTGAAACTATACCAAAGGTCTGTAAGTATCCGCTGTATCCACACCTGGGTCGTTCCGGTGTGGCTTGAAACCCCAGGCGGTAGCATGTGTAGTACAGTCTTGATAAGGCACCACTGGGGGTTAAAGTCGAATGTTCTTGTATGAGGTGCAGACGTTTCAATTTCAAGCGTTTCCATTTATGTGCCCCGACATTTCTACAGGATCTGTCACCAGCAGAGTGATGCAGTCCAGTGAGCTGGGATTCTTAGCTGTCGGCAAGCCGTTGTCCGTTCATGTTTCATCACTCTTTGTACTGCTGTTCGTACGAAGTTGGAGCTGACCCGGAGCCAGTTTAGGGATGTTATGCCTCAGCTGTTTGGTCCTTGTCGCAGTTCCTCTGGTTACACTTTTTTCCTGTAACTCACCCAATAGGCGCCAACCGACCCAGACACTGACGTATCCCTTTTTTACAGAAAAATAACAGCCTCCTTAAAAGTGGGTATTAACTCGCTACGTTTCTTCTACACTGACTTAATTTTACTTTTCTTGAGTATCAAGGACCAATGCTACTTTTTGTGTGTTCCATTGAGCAACATTCTTTAGCTTTTTTTATTTAAAAATCATCCGTTTGTTTTGGTCTTAGTTTTGGCACGGGGACTGGGATAGTGGCTGATTTGGACCTCACATTCCGTCCATATTTAACTGAACCCTCCTGTTGGCTTCCTGTTAGTTGACCTGTTTCAAACATTAAAATGTCATAACTTTGGTTTTCTTCCATTTAACTGCCTACCAATGACATGGGTGAATGAAATCGGCTCAAATAAGTGTTCTGCCTAAACTTTGACACCTACCAGTCAATGGTTTCTCATCTACTTGGATCTAATCAGAATTTCTATCTACTTTTCTCACAAATCACATATAATTTTAAGTAAATGGGCTCAGTCTTACCATGTATTACAAAAATAAGTGTGAGATACATGTTAATGAGTTGGATGCAGGTTCATTAAAAAACAAGAAAACATGATAATTTATTTGTGTATATCAGCAGTTTATTTGTACTTGAGTAGTTCTGTCACTCTTGGATAATATTTTGCGCGAAAACCTTTGACTTTTATCTGAGTAATATTATTTTGAAGTAACAGTACACTTTACTTTAGGAAAGTGTTTGACTACTCTACCTACTTCTGGTCAACTCTTTACATTTTAACATTACTCCTACTGCCTTTTGGTCCAATTTGTGAGAGTTTCTCTCTCTATCTTTCTTTCTTAGGTCGGCCCACATAGCGCAACCCATGTCCAAAGAAGAGCTGTCCAGCTCGGTGTCCATACAGCTTTTCAACGGAGAGACGCAGCAGCTCATCATCACCTTGGAGAACATCGGCTCTGAAGACATCGAAAGTCTGGAGGTGACCTCCAAGCTTGTCACCACCAAAGGTCAGTCAGCCCCCCCCCCCCCAAAACGGTCAAACGCTGTACGTTATCCCTCTGTTTTACCGTAATTTAGTTGGTGACAATCTTTACAGGAGGTTGTATGATATACATGTAGGGTTGTCACGATACTAAAATTTTCAACTCGATACGAAAATACTCGATAACATTTTCGATACCACAAGGATAAAAACAAAGACCCAAAAATGTAACTGAATTTTGACAGGTTAGTGTCTTTCATTTCAAACCGACCTGTTACTGATGTTATCGTGATTGGTGGCCCGTATTAATGACCCTAACCCTAACCCTCCACCCTTCATAATTGTGAGAAATAAATATTTTTTGGTTAAACTTGTTTGGACTTATTGTACAAACATCCACTATTTTAACATAATATTATGTATAGAGTTTAATTAAGTGTTTGAAAGATTAATTTCACTGTTTTTAAATTAATGTCTATATTGCCATGAAGCAATTAGGGTTTTCTTGCCTGGAATCTTCCTATTGGTGACGTAATCAAAATGGCAGACTTGGATGTGTGAAAACGAGTATCGTATCCGGATACAACATTTTAGTATCGATACTTTTTTGAGTATCGATACTTTTGACAACCCTATATACATGTAGATGAAAGGTGGGCCCAGAATTAAAACAGTGTGCTTTGTGTGTGTTGTCTTTGATTTGGCTGACCACACTCCTGTTGCAGCCCCCCTGTTCTCACAGTGCCACCGAGGTCACTGCCCAATCATCTGCGGCTCCACATCTTTCACGTCTCTGTGGCTTTTTGGGCTCGTGTTCCGTCTCTTTGTTCAGCACCTGCTCACACCTCACATCTCTTCCCACCGCCCTCTTTCTTTGTTGCCTTTGTTTTTCCCCGAAATGAGAAAGGTGGACACTGCACTTTGTTGGCAAAATCAAAGTTTATATCCTTGGTCACTCCTACTTATATGAACTGTTTCCCCCAACTCTTCTGTAAAGTAAATTAGTTGGAATTCAGTTGATTGAGCAGTAGGCAGAGACTCTATAAGTGCGCCAGGAAGTCATATTCCTATGGAACTGGAACTGCTTTTTACTTGGATGCTCATTGGGTCATCTTTTGTCTCGGTTTTGCCTTAACATCAATCTATGTTAAGACACTAGCATGTCCTGAATTCTTAGACATATATATGCTAACCATTAGCTTTCCTGGCTTGCAATTGCTATGCAGATGTTTAAAACCTGTTCATTCATCAACTCAGTTAATTTCAGTTAACTTTTATCAATATAGCGCCAAATTGCAGCAAATCTTATCTTTAGGCGCTTCTGCTGCTTTGATTAGCAAGCCAAACCTGAGTGGATTAGCTTCATGTGCTGTTCCACTCTGAGCAGAACGCAGGCATTATTTACTGCCCACTTTTGCCAACTCCGCTGTAAGAAAAGTAGCTGTTAACAAGTCTGCAAGTTGCAAAAAAGTCATCCAATTGTTTAATTATTCAAAACGACATCAACATGATTTATTATATGCATGATATTACAGTGGAGCTGTAGAGGAGAGGAAGGACATCGTGGAAGAGACAAAATGCGTAGAAATAAAAGAAGCTATGTTTATCCATGGCAATCTAAATAAACAGAGTCAACGAATCTTTAAATTCAGGGTTTGACTCCCAGTCTTTTCTATATTTTTCACCGTACAGTTTAGACTAAGGCACGATGAGCTAGCCAGGTAGCCCTTAGCTTGAGTCACAGACAGGTGCACACACAGTGGAGTAATCAATCCAAATCCAGTAATATATTCTAGACGTGTTCTGTAGATTTACACACAAGCCAGTGGCAGTCTCGCACAGGCAACAGTGTGAACATCCGCCGTGGTTATGTAGCCAGAGTGGATATTCACCCTGTTGACGCTGCATCCAGACGCTGCTCTGAGAGCCCGCTGTGAGCGCTTTGAGATGGAGAGCGGCCCAGGGCTGCACCTGCTGCTCGTGGAGAGGAGCAATGTGAGCTTTCACGCCCGTCTTCAAAGTCAAAAAGACAACACCAGAAAAAGTTGCTTGTGAAAAAGCCACCGGAGTGGTCTAAAAAAAGTCACTGAATGTTAGAAATGCTATAGTAAAACTAAAAACATCATACAGACTTAGATCAACCTTTGGGAATGCAAAAAATCAGGATAAATTATATATTTTTTAAATAATTTAGAAGCTACAAGTCAGTTTGTATGTAATTTTTCTGACTGATTGCTGTGTTTTTCCTCCAACAGTCTTCCTAGCCACCTTTATCAATCTTTTGAGGGGCAGTGGCCTACAGTTTACAGCTACCAGGTATATAAGGAGTTGGCTTGTTAATGGTAACTAGTACCAGGGCCTTATTAGAATAGTCTGCGGTTTAGAAATTCATTTGATGCCCGTCTGCCTGCTGGCCTGCCTCCAGAGCAGTTTCTCTCTCAGTAACATGAGCCCCTTTTGAAGTGGAACCGATGTCAAATGCGGATTATGTTGCAAATATATTTTTCTTTCCTTCTATCCCTTTTCCTGGATATATTTTTTAAGATTGGCCGATACACCATTTGATTATGCAAACCTTTTCTTTAAATTTTACTTTACTTTTACTTTTTACTTATGATGCTGTAAATCATTTCAAGGGGAAAAAAGTTCCTTTTTCTCCAAATAGTTAAAAAAATTGGTTAAAGAAATACATCTCCATGCAGGACTCAAAACCTGTGGGCCTTTGATGGAGGGACTTCCATGATCAAAACAACGACCCCCATTTAAAGCACGGACTTTTAGCACCTTATTATAATGTCTGTATCAGTTCTGTAACACCTAAAATATCTCATTCTGTTGGTGTCTCGAGGACAGCAATCTCTACGATACTCAAACACTCAGCCTGTTATGCAAATGGTAACCCCTCTTCTTCAGTATCATATAGCATGCATTTACTTCTGAATATGATGCAACGCAATTAAATTAGTAATTTTCACGCATTAGAAAATATTTTGGATTTTTAAGCATTGATTTTGATCGATTATTTGCCAAAAAATAACTGCAGTTATTTGAAAATAGTCTCTGAAGGTTTCCAGTTCGGTTTTCCAATATCTGGAATATGATACTTTTGTGAGATAAAACTCTATATGTTCATATTAAAATTCTCAGTATTCTCAGACAAATGGGGAAAACGCTCTTGCTCACAAGATACTTTATAATTATTTTATTAGTAAATAAAAAGGCTTTCAGGCTTCAGTGATTCTGTCGTCAAACATTTATTTCAATTGACAAACTAAGGTGTTATATTTAATGAGGCTATTTGATAAAAATGCGATTAATTGAGATGAATTAGTTACAAAGCCTTGTGTTAATGTGAATAATTTTTAATCAACTCCCACACCCAGTCAAAAGTGTACTTTAAGGTTAGAAAATCTAGAATCTAGCTTCTATGAAGAATTAGTAGGCCAGCTAAAGAAAAGTATACTATAAGGAATATTTTGGGATTACTCTTCATCTGTATTAATTTATATGTTTTCATTTGAATTCTCATTACATTAGAATTCAAATGAATACATATAAATAATATTTTTTCAATGTAATTTAATTTGATGAATCATTCCTCGCCTTTCTCTAATTATCTTCATATCATCGCTTTTGCTTTTTTTAACCTCATCTGTTTGCATCATGTTCTAATTAAGGCAGTTTGAGTCTAAATGATCTCTTCATTCCAAGTTACTTTCCCTGCTGGGATTTATTTTTTGTTCCTCCTTTTATCTTCAAGTACACAAACAGATGAGCAAAAACAGACAAATGAAAACAAGGAAAGAATCCTGATTACATCTCCACTGATAATGAAGATCAGTGGTCGGCATGCCGTCGTAGGTGCCCTCTCAGCAGGCATCATTACACCACAAAAACAAGAAGCACTTTAAGAAAATGAATAAAAAGCTAAAATCCTCTTTCAGGACTTTTGACGAGTGACACCAAATTAATGGGTTTGCCCCTTTTTCCCTTTCATCTGCCTCAGCTCTGAGTGTGTATCGTATCCATAAGAGAAAATCTTGCACAAATAATTCTAAAAATCTAAATCTAACATTTTTTCCACCTTCAAAAGCCATAAACAGTTAATCTTTGAAGAACTCAGTATGAGCAGATATTTGGGTATTTGGTTGAATGTCATACAAAGATGTCATTGTGAAGATTGATTATAAGTCTCAGATCGTTCGATATACTTTGTGTGTCCTGTTGATAACATATTTAGAGTCAGTAGTTCTGAGTTGGTGCTTATAATGGAGTTTTGTCATTGAAAATCATATTTTCATTTGTTCCATGCTTCCTGCAGGGTTTTTTCTTGCTGCAATTTAGGATCAAAAAGGGTTGTTGTTATATAATTTTTTAATCAACTCTCCAAAGGGTGTTATATGAGCTTGGAATAGTTCAGACAGATATAAGCATATATATATATATTAGCATTTTCTTTTTGGCTCTAACTCTGTATTTTCAGTAAACAGCCTTCAGTGAAATCCGGGCCAATGCAGAACTTACTAGTTTTTAATGAAAAGGCTTCTTTTTCTTTCATTCTACATTTGGAAAGCCAGCTTTTTGTTATCACACATTTTAGACTTCACCATCCAGAGCTCTAAATAAACTCATTTTATATGATGCAAAAAAATAAAACATTTTCAAACTTTTACATGAGAAAAATACAAGCATTAAAGCAACATATACGAACACTGCAAAGCACACACTGAAATGTTTGTGCGTCTCTTCCAAAAGTGGGATCTTAAAAAGTCTCCATTTTGCCTTTCCCCCCCCGGTTTTCAGTTTTATAAGTCGCTAATTTTTAAACCCATTATTACTAACTAGGTCCTACTGTTCCTTTTTCAGAGAACTTTATTCCTGATTATTCTTTTGTGATTTAGCTGAGATGAGCAATTTAGTCCTTGAGATCAGTTTTTTGGCTTCAGCTCGCTATTAATGGTATCTTTTAAGGATGATCCCGTTCTGAGTGGTGTTCTCTACAGAAGGTGTTCGCCCGACTGTCCACATTACAAATGAATCCCGCGTGCGCACAGCTCCTACCGTAATCCCCCTGGATTAAAAAACGGGATGAAAACCTTTTTTTCTTGTAATTTTATTGTCCTCTTCAAATTTGACATTCAAACTCAATTATTTTACGTAGTATGGTTTCGGGAGAAGCATTAAAGCTATGAGATGATTTTTATAAAGTTCATTTGTAGTTCTAAACAGATTTAGTGTTTTTTTTTACGCACTTCTTGACTTCCCACCATTTAAATTCGTCTGCCTTGCATCCGTTTACATGACCAAATTGCCAACTGTCTAGCAACTTTCAGGACAGCCAATAGCTGCTTTTCTTTTCGAAACATTGGCAAAATGGCTCATGATAAATCTTAACTGGCGTACCTGCTTACCATCTTTCGAAAAAACGGACAAAAGCGTCTTGTTGCCTTGCTCCGGTTTCTTTAGATTCACAGAAATACCACCTCTATGTATTACCAATGCTGTTGATTTGGCACATTTATCTGGCAAACAGCGGGATGGCGTCTCACTCATAAAACCGAAACATTGTCAAAAAAGCTCTGCACTGATCGGTGTGTGTTGAAGGATGGTCCGATGACTTTAAAGTCTCACCGCGCCTCTGCATGCATGCAGCTTGATTCATGTATTTCGTTCATGTCAATTGTTTGGTGGTCGCTGCTGATTGACTGGTTGTCTGGCTTTTCCAGCTTGTCAGGGACTGAGCATTAAAGTGAAGGACAAAGGTATACAAGATATTATCCTCCATTTATTCTTCCCAACAACGGTAGCAAAAATCCATCAAAACACTCAAAATCAAGAAAAATGGGACCAAAAGAAAAAATCCACATCCTAACTAAGGATAACAAACAAGAACAGACCTATCATGGTGGACACACAGGGGGAATGTATACGCACAGGCTAACCTACAGGAAACAAGGATGGAGGGGAAAGTAGACTAAGATAAAGAATAAATAAACCAAGGCAACTAATTCAACCTACTAATTCTAACTACAGCACACATATAAAACGGCAATTTCTATTTAAAACAAGCTTCTTCAGTCACCTGATGGATTCCTCCACTTCCTGCAGTCACAACTTATTTGCTCTCCCCAGCTAGTTCCTCCCACCTCAGCAAAAGAGATAAACAATTAATAATCATGCACTGACATATGTGAACGCCCATATTAGCAGACATCCTTACATAATAATCCAAAATAAAAGAACAAATAAACATACTGTGCGAAAGAAACATTAAAATAGTAACACTTTGAAATAGCTTGAGAAATCTCGACCCAGCTCCTCGCTCTTGAATGCATCATTTCCCCTAAAAATACCCGTCTTCCTCTCCTCACCTAAGCGTCTGGATCCTCTACTGTTAGGTAGCGGCATCGTGCCTGATCAGTTGGGAAATCAGCGCTACTAGAGCTTTCCAGAGAAGCAGTAGAGTGACCCGACTCGCCCCCTTTGGTTATTGGGCTTACCTAATCGTTGTAACCATGTGGTGGTAGTGGTTCTTCTAGGGAGCTGAAGGGAAAAGAGATGAAGCGAGTGGCATCAGTAAGAAATCAGAGGCGGTAACAAACAAATATTTCTCTTCCCGCCACAATGCAGACACTGCCATCTTTCAGCAGGAGACAGGAGCCCTATTTCTCAGTGGAAAAAACATGTATACTGTATTCAAAGGCTCTCCATGCATGGCAATAATCAGAAGATAACTTGAGAGGCTGCTTGGGACAATGATACGAAATGTTTCATGAGGATAGAGAACATTGCACGGAGGGGCACAAAGCCAGAGGAAACGATGGATAAATCCCGCTCTTGCCATTTAGCTTCTGCCAGCAGAGCGGACTTTGCTCTCCTTTCACTTCACTACAGGGTCTGTGTTTGATTTTTTTAAAAGCTTGCCACGGTTGGCGGATGCAAGCCAGTGTAAATTGGATCCAGATTCCTTTACCTGAAAAGATATCTCACTGTTTCACGGAGCAGAGGGGCAAATAAAAATGCGGTCTGGCTCCAACTTAACTGTCCAGGTGAAGAAAACTTGGTTGGAAAACTTTTTTCCAACAGAAAAGTCAAACCGAGACTTCTACGCCAGCCTCGGTGTGCACCAGAGCCTCTTATCAAGCCCCCTGTACACCATTTTAGCAGAGATTCCACCCACATGTTGGAGCTCTACACAGTGTCTTACTTCAGCATCACAATTCTCAAATGTTTTTTCCCCTGCAATAGAACATACAAAAATCATTCTGATTCGTATTTCCTAGATTGTAGAGTAAAGAATTCAAATGTCCTAGTTAGTTCCAAACTATAGTGTATTTATAAAGCACACATGGTGGACCAAAGTGCTCACAACAGGTAAAGCACAGGGCAGACCTTAAAATCTATACACACCCTAAGCACTGACAGCAGAGAGGAATTAAAGCAAAAGAAGGACTAATATAGCGCAGTCAAATTGGAACGAACCCTAAAATCAATGTCAATCTCACAAAAGGCAAAATCAGAAGAATTACAGAGCGTTTTCACACATCAACTGAGGGAGTTTGTGGCACAGGTTCAGGGCCACAACAGAAAAAGCCACATCACCTCTTAGTTTCCTCTGTGATTTTAGGAAAGCCCTAAAATAATTTTTCAGCGTCTATTTGAAGATGGAAAATGTTTGATGAAAATGTCGACAAATTGGCATTGAATCATGTGGGTTTCTTTGTCTTGAACACCATTGGTTTGATATATTTCAGGACAATTCTACCCTCTTAAAAGTCACAAACTGCACATGATAAACTTCATAAGTTCAGCTAGTAAAGCAGGAGTTTTTTTTATGATGGACTGGGACAAAGTGAGAACTGAATGTACTCTCCGAGCTTTGGCTGGTTTGAGTCAATATTTGCGGCTTTATATAAATGAACACGTTCCGCTGAACCTGTCGATTTCCATTCTGTTCACTAATTACTTTTTGACATTATGTGAAATGGGATATGCTTGCCTTTTTTGTTTTGTTTTTCTTGTGATGTCCAAACAGATTTTTCGGATTGAGTTATTTTATTTCTGCCCTGAAGTGTGGCTGACTCGATTTCTATTGTTATTTTAGGAGTCAGGTTGTCTCCAGATAATACTTCTGAAATAAGGCCTGAAAGACCCATCAGTCATTTTGACGGCCATTATTTGTCGCTTGTTTTTGTATATATGGTGTGATGAGACAACATCAACCCATAATCCTGGTAATACCTGTTTGAGTTATGACTCCTTATGTTACACATTATAGCGTTTTGTTTAATTTGACTTTTCTCTTCATAGATATGATGTCTTTTAAGTTCTGGCTTCGTCACTGGCTTCTATTCCTCCGTTTTATTTCTCTCCTTCGAGCTTTCAGTTTATGAATATTTCAAACAGAGCGTTATTCGCTGAATCTTTATTTAATGCTGCCTACCATCGCGTCCCCTCGGAGGATTTTGCGTATTTTCCTGACGAATCATGCGGGGACGTGAAAACCTGTTGTTCTGGCAGGGAGCTTGTGGGTGTTAAAACCCACCTGCTTGTTGTTCCTACGGCCCCTGAGATCAGGAGTGGCTCACCTGCACACACACACACACACACACACACACACAGAGCGCACGCTTTATTTAGGGGATGTATCATTCATTTGAGGCTCCGGGCTGAAGTGGATGCAGCTGAGTCATCCGCCTGAGCCATGAATTACAGCCTCAAGTCTAGCGACAGGCACAAAGGGAAGGAAAGTTATCTTCTCATGACATATCATATCATGTGTTATCAGGGTAAATGTTCCCGTACATGCGATCAACGTTCACTTGCCTCCCCTCTGCCTTCCCTAAACAGAGAAAGTGTTCGGGGAGTTTCTGAGCTGGGAGCTGGACGAGGCTCTGCGTCACCTGCCTCTGAAGCACGGCCAGACCGCCACGCTGGCCGTGGACATCAAAGTCAGGCTGGACTTCTCAGGCCAGGAAAACCTGCTGCAGGACCTCAATGACGGTGAGTGGCGACAGGCCCGTCGGCAAATCCCGTCACAGCTTTGTCAGCTCCACATTTTAACGATCAGTCCAACACGGTGATGCGGCCATGCATAAATACACAAAATATAAGACGGTTTATCATTCATAGTAAAGTTACAGCCCAAATAAAGATAATTTGTACTTAAGGATACATCAGAGATAAGCTCTGACTTTAGAAATAAGTATGCAGCTCTTTCCTCTGCCACATTTGAATCATTGAAGAAATTATGCAAGATGTGAGACCTTTCCAGGAAACAGGAACTCGTCCCCTTTCAAATCATTGTGCTTTAATTAAAGAAAGACAGACAATGGGAATTTGAATTGACATTAGTTAATCCTCCCTGTGTCATCGTCTGTTATTTTCAATTCCAGACCTGGCAAAAGTTTTAGAGAGTTTAAATGTTCGCCGGTTTAATTACTTATTGAATTAATTAATATGCTGAAAACTATTATGTCATGTCTTTATGATATTGACATGTTAATGACCCCATAAATAAGGCAGATAAAAACTTGTGTTTAGGGGGCAAAAAAGTGCTGACTAGTTTAAGGTTGCTACCCTCTCTTTGAAAAATGTTGGTCTCCCTCTTCTCGTTCTTCATCGAAAAGCCATTTGATTCCCTGTACCATGACTATTCATACCTGTCTCTCCCAGGTGTATATCCCAGATAAATCCCATCTTTGGAAGCAAATAGACTTTATACTGTATGATTGTAGCAGTATGTCGATTTAAATGGCACATAGCTGCAGAAGCTGCTGAACACAACCATTTAAATATCCCCAGCTTCAAACTTCACTTATATTTAATGGAGAAACTATGATGGCTGCATTAGAGTGTGCAAACACTGCCTTGTTTGGTGTGTCTACTTTGGGATAAACTTGCAATTTGGTGAGATCTTCAGAAAATTATATCTTGAAAGGAGTAAAATAGCTATGAAATATAGAATATGGACCTAACAGGTTATGGCAAAGGTGTTTTAATGATGGCTGCTATTCCTCTGGGGCTGTTTGCGTGCTGCTTGGTTTTCAGGGTTTGCCCCTACAAAAACTATCGATTTTTTTCTTTTTTCTTTTTGTGATGTCAAAGTGCTTGATGACAGGCATGATGACATCTTTCCATAAAAAAAGGAAGAAAAATGAGAAACACCCACAGCATATCATGTCTCAATGGTACTATTTCTGACTTGTCTAACAGAGGTTAAGTTTATCTTTGTTTTAGCAGATACTAAAGGAAGTGCTAACATTTGATAGCACATGGATCATTTTGCACGCTTTTTAGGCTGTCATTTTAGCACTTTAGGTTCTAAAAAAGGCACGAATATTGACGACCCCTTTTTGGGAAGTGTTTTATTAGACACACCAGGGGCAGAAATAGAATGAAAAATAGACCGGATGGAGATATTTTGGTGCCGAGTACCACTTGTGGTCTTGAAAAAGTTAGCAGCTTATATGCTCCATGATGAACATCTTGTGGTGTGAGGCTGTGTGAAACTGATTAGATGAGGGTTCAAGCTAAGTTCTAAAGTTATCATCAGGCTACTGTGAGTGGCTGCTAGTATCCCTTCTCGCTACAGTAGTGACAGCAAACACTCAAACATGGTAAAACACAGGAGATGTTTACAAGAGGACGTAATGGAATTGATTTCTGTTGCTCTTAGTAATAGTAAAAATATGCGCATTACTGGTTGGCAGGTTAAGCAAGTTGCTGTTAGCTGCTAGCTTTGCTTGAAAGTGTGGCTGCTAGGTGGCTATCATCTAGCTAGCTTGTATGGCGCACGGACATCTATACCTAGACCCCCGCATGGCAAATATTTGCAGAAAATGTTGACAAATTGGCATTGAATCATTAGGGTTTCTTTGTCTTGAACACCATTGGTTTGATTTATTTCAGGACAATTCTACCCTCTCAAAAGTCCTATTTGAACGTTACTTCAGACACAAACTGCACAGGATAAACTTCATACGTTCAGCAAGTAAAGCAGGAGTTTTTTTATGATGGACTGGGACAAAGTGAGAACTGAATGTACTCTCCAAGCTTTGGCTGGTTTGAGTCGATATTTGTGCCTTTATATAAATGAACACGTTCCGCTGAACCTGTCGATTTCCATTCTGTTCACTAATTACTTTTTGACATTGTGTTAAATGGGATATGCTAGCCTTTTTTGTTTTGTTTTTCTTGTGATGTGCAAACAGATTTTTCGGATTGAGTTATTTTATTTCTGCCCTGAAGTGTGGCTGACTCGATTTCTATTGTTTTTTTTTTAATCGTACGTCGACGTCGCCGCCATCTTGGATGTGGCAAAGTGGAGAATTGGAGTCAGCGATCAGACCGTGAAGCTGTGTATATCTCAGGGTTTGTTGTTGGCTAACTTCTCCAAAGGCTGTGCTGTGATGTGACATGGTAGTTTGGTGTCTGATGGTGTACCTGCATCATAAAAGCTGCTCTCCCTAAAAAACAAAGGAGGGCTGATGGCTCCTCTGACAGCGTTGTAAAGGTGGTTCATTCACAACTCCAGCCCAAGGCTTTGAAAGGGGCTTTTATCTGTCAGTTGGTCCGGCTGAGATTGGTTCTGAGGATGTGTTTTTTCTGGGGGGGCACATTTCAGAAACACAGCTCAGAATTGACCACCACCATTTTGTGCTGGTTTCATTAGTTGTGTCAGTCTTCCACAAACTGAGGCTGGATCACATGACAAACTGAACCCAAGTGTATTCTTTTCCAAGATTTTCTAACTTGCATGCGCACACACACACGCACACACACACAAAGAAGTTCAGACTTCATGAGAAATACATGAGTGTTAATTGTAAAAGTTTTACAATTAACAGTTAAAAGAGTTTGTGTTATCACTTCATGGCTTTCCTCATTCAGTAAATAGGGATTTAAGAAGGCTAATGAGATTCATCCTCATTTATTTCTCTTGTCACTTCCTCAAACTAAAAGAATACTTTGTGTCTTGCAAAACTGACAATGCTGTAAAGAACTCACAACAGTAATAATCTGCAGAGCTGTTTACACTGTTAGTTTTCAACAACATACAGATATAGCAATATGGGAAGTAGTAGTAGGATTTGGCTTATTGGTCATACATGCTCGTGTGTTTTAGATAAATGACTGAGACTGTTGCACATTTCATATTTAAATTAAGTTACTTATGGTAGAATTTGAGATCTATTTCACTGAAAACTGAGACTGAAGAACTGATTCATAAAGTCTTACAGAATACAAATATATGTTTTCAGAGTTCTAGTCACGGCAGAAATATTTTGCCAACTTTCTTTTCTTCTATTGCTTTTTTTTTTTTACCCCTACCCAGTTCTCATAAACAACACCCTAACCTTTCCCCCTAGCTCACTGCTTATTTGTTGTGTTCCTAACCCACCTCTGTCATAACTCCATCTCATCCTTCCTCTTTCCTGTACCGCCCCCAACCTCTGCTCCTCCCTGTTCAGACTGTTGAACCTGTCCCTTACCTCCTCCGTTAGCTAATAAATATTAATGCGAGATTTACATGAAGTTGCTCCTGCTTCACAGAGACTTCACAGAAACCCCTTTCTGTGTGTTCCTGTCTGCATTTGCATGTGAACCAGCGCGATACTGCGTGTTTATCTCGGCCCCGCTCTCCACATGAGGTCGTTTAAACGATACAGTTTCAGTGTTTTAATTAGCCGAGCAATAATTGAAGCCCTGAATTAATGAGATAAGACTCGTTTCCTCCTAAACAGCAGCTCTGAATGTGGTTATTACAATGACAATTATGGGATGGAGTTTTTTTTTCCCCAAACACACCCGATGCTATCTAGCACTTTAATACATTAATGTAGTCACGTTAATAACGTTGTTAATATTCATTTGCATAAAACTGTTGTTTGGGTTTGTTCTCTGTCTGCTTGAGAAGCAGGAAGATTACCAAGTTCGGCCATATTTGCTAATTAAACTGTAAAATCTTGATTATCATAGTGTGCTTTCAGCAACTATTTGAATGCCTTAGCCGACATAGAAATTTAAATGCCACAAGTTTGGAGCTTTAGTAAATAATGGTCTTGTTAGAGTCAGCTATACAATAAAACCTGACCCGGGCAGTCCAAGCATAGCAAGCATTTTATGACACTGACATTTTACGATACATACATCAGCTGGTCCGTAACATTTTCTGTTTTAAGGCATAGTTTGACATTTTGTAGAATATGCTTATTAGTTTTCAAACTCAAAATGGACTCATAAGGTCATTATGCCCTAAAGAGGACTAACGATAACCATGGCATTAATTTTCATGAAACAATCTCCTTTCCGGCTTTCATTTTTTATTTATTTGTAACGGTTATTTTTGGAGAAAGTTTGCTTATTTGGGAGGGAAAGTTTTAATGAGCACACATTTCTGCTGCATTCTCCTCAGAGTTGGGTTATTGATTACTCCAGGTCTGCATTTTCTTCCTAAGACTCATCTGCAACAAACAAGGGTCTAAATGCCATTTGTTGTAATTTGGTTTGCAACAATCCACAGTCCATGTTTTGGCATTTTCAGAGCAATATTTCTAAGCCTGTTTTGTGCAAATATGAGTAAAAGTGCTCCGAGCACAAAGAGATGAACAACAAAGCTAAATGTGCACTGCAGTAAATGTTGAATGTCTGCTCAGTTCTGCTGTTGTCAACACTGTGTGCAAAAAAACAGCATTAAAAAAAGAATCCTCTCCTTTTGTTGCTCTACATTTTTGGCCCTATCCCAATTTCATTGCTCGGCAGTACCTCATTTTTCCTTCCTTTTGCAGACATAAGGCGTTGCATTTCTTTCTGGAAAGGAAGTAGCAGCACCCTGGCCTTCAACGGAGATATTTCAGATCATTTTTAACTCTTTATGATCTTTACAATTAGTTCCACAAAAGAAAAGAAGTCTGTTTTTGCCAAAATGGAGGTCTAGGACCACGGCCAAGGTCTCGTATTGAGCCCAATAGTTTTGTTACATCCCACCATGCACCTAAATA